TCAGAGGGGAAAGAAAACAACTGTTACACTGCAAGTCCTCCTTTTTTCGGTTGATAGCACATTTGGACATTTCCTCAGCTAAGGTGAAAAGACTGTGAAAGCAGTAATCTCTCCTTTGTGTAGAGAGCAGGTCGGATACCCCATTTGCAGAAACTCAGCAGCTGATAACTCAGCTTGTCTAGAGAGCATATTCCCCTAACTAGCAATGCCATATACTTTAAAGCTTCCTAAATACTCTGAGAAGCCTCTTTTGATGCAGGCATTAAGCAAAACATAGGGGGGTTTGGGCTTATTTTCAGTGTGCCAAAAAACAGTCAAGGGAAGTTTCTAAACGTGACATTCCTTCTCTATCAAACTACAGTTTTAGAAATCCAAAATGGTACTCACAGAGAAAAAGATGCAAGTGCTGTGGTAGCTGACTCTCAACAAGCCTTTGCTGTAGAAAACAGGTTTCTCTGTTTGCTGTTGAGGGTACAGTCAGTTGGTAAGTAAAGGATCACTGTTAGGGAGGCACAGGCGGTCAGTTCATTCATGTAGAGACCAATATACACTATTCTGTGATATATGTGAACAGATCTTGGCTAACTGAAGTCACCCAGCAAACTCGGAGGTACCTCACCCAGCTGTATTTACATGTTTCTTACACCTTCAGGAGCAGAATCTTTCTACATGCTATGAAACCTGCTCCTTCAGATGAACCTGTGCTCTAGCTTTCTCTCAGCACCTAAGTCTTTCAAAATACAAAGATTAGGCACCTTAGCACTTAAATATAGGCCTAACAGATTGCTAAGAAAAGGTGATTCTAGAGTGCCAGAACAACTCTGTGCAATATTATATGGACAGTAAAATAATCTATGTACTTTGCAGAGTCTTCTCTCAGAAAAAATAATCTAACCTTGGAGTTAGGGATGCGAGGTTTTTAATTTAATTAATGCTACCTCCCACCAGAATTCATTTTCAATTGAATTGTCAATTCAACATAAAGGTCTCTCTTGCAAAAAGCGTGGTTGCTACAAACACACAGCAGCACTCCATTTAAGAAAACGCACCTCGACAAGTCTCGTGTTCATGAGCGTGGGTAAAGGTCAGCACTTCCCAAATTATCTATGTTTAACTGGCCTCTTTTGTGTGAGAAAGAGGAAACGTTAACAAAAATATTACGTGTGTCATGATGTCTGAAAATTACCTGGGCTGCTAGATACAGAGATAACACCTCTCAGTCACTTCTCTGCTTCTGTAAAAAACGAGGGAGAAAAGATTTTATCTTTTTTTGTTTTGTTTGTAGACCTACTTACTTGAGCAAGTAGGACCTATTGCAGGGTGCTCTGTAAAACAAATCAGTCAATCCTTGAAATTACCTGGATGCTTATAGGCAGTGTTTGTCTTATTCTATTTTACCTGCAGATCTCATATCCCTGCTGCATTCAGGAGGCAAGCTCTTTGAAGAGGATCCTCCTCCTTTAGGAGATTTGGGGATTCCCAGATTAAATCAGCTGCTTCTATTTTCAGCTCTCCTCCCCAGGAAGGTGACCAGACTTTAGCAGGTACTGGCAGCTGGCTGTTTTGTGAGCTGACTCAAAGGCTACTAGGGTTTTTTTAGGCAGCTCTTCATTTTCAGCCACGTGTCTGCAAAATGCTGTGACAAAATCCTGTAAAACTTACCATCCAAAACTTTAACACATTTCCTAAGGTAATTTCCCATGTCTTCTTGGGAGAAGAAAAGTAGATTTGTGTAATTCTGTCATCAAATTTAGTGTTGCATCTAGCAACCTATTTTTCTTCAGGATGGTTAAATATGATAGGAATAGGAATTCAGTGAGTAGTGGCACTCTCTTGCCTTATTTCTTCAGGCATCTGATTCAAACAGTGCATCCCCCCCCCAGGTGTCAACAACAGAGTTGCATCAGTTTAAGCAAATTGTTAAACCTGTGTAACTGCAAAGACAAGCCTTGTGGGACAATAAAGATTTCTCAAGTCTTAATCAACCCTAGCTGTGGTTTAAATGTTTGGGGAGTTAAAGGGGTTTCTGTTGAGACCTCGGCGTAGCTGTGCTGAATCACAAAATCTCCTTCTTAGTCCTGCTGAAGATAACAAAGTGGTCAATCTGAAGCAAAGGAGCTTGTGTTTGGTTACTGGGTCTAAAAAACCTCAGAGGAATCAGTAGACTGAATGGTAGTACACTCATCCCCTCTTAAACAGGTCTCCATCCCACTGTCAGAGGTTGTAATCCTACTTTATCTCCAGCAAGCCCGTACGTGCAAGCAGGGAGTGGGGGGAAATAGGAAGGAAGGAACTAACATTTAGAAGCCCATTTTCTTCTTTGCAGACAGCTCAGTTTCAAACAGAGCAGACTAGTTAAACTGCAACGAAGAGGGAGATGGTGGTGGTGTTTGAAGGGGTTTTGTTCTGCTTTTGAGGAGAAAGTAAAAGAGAAGTATAAACTTTTAAAGTGATTTCAGCTGAGTTGTCCAGTTACATTGCTAGGGTAAATCTCTCCCACACTCTCTGCCTTCACAATGAGGAGGGCCACTGCCCAGGCTAGCACATGGCAAATGTGCCACCGAGCCATGGCATGGCCTCTTCTCATGGAAACCTTTGGCAGGTACCTGCTGCTGGCTTCTGGGCCCCAGGGCTGGCACAGGCTGGGAACCTCCACACGCTCTGCATACGCCTCCCAGCAGGATTAACTAGCTGCAATTTTAATTCCTGCCCATGCGTTTCTTCTGTTGGGCAGCAACTGAACACGAGCCCAGCACTGGGTTACACCTGCCCTGGTGTCTGCAGGGAGGCCAGTGCAGATGTAAACAGATAGAAGAAACAACACCTTTTGTTTGTCTGACATCAGAGCAACACAGCTTCACAGCTTCTTTTTGGTAAAGCTCATCCAAAGCAGTTTTTTCTTCCTTTCAAGAGGCAGGCTTGTTTTGAAATATCTGTGAAGAGAAAGGTGCCTTTTATTTCTGGCAGAATGTGTGGGATTTGAAAAGCAGAGAGGGGAAGATCAAGCGGTGCAGCAGGGATTCACCAATTTGTTTGAATTTGTCTGTCTTACTCCTGTTCTCTATCAATCAGCACCTCTTAAATCCAAGGGTTTTTTCTAAATATAAATGACTCTGGCTGGATCGTTCATGTACTTAAAGATCCATTTTGCTGGCTCTACTCCCTCTTTTCACTTTTGCACATAAACATAATCCCATAGAAACCTCCTACCAATGCTGGGTACCCCCTTTAGACATGCCAGTTTAAGATTGGCAGGGCACCCAGCCCATGGTTATCCGAGCAGTAAACTGTCTTCCTCCACTAGAAAGAGGAAATTGATCCCAAGTAAGGTTTTCTTTTCAATGTCAGTGGTGATACCTGGATGCCCACCTTCCCCTCTCCCAGTGAATGCGGTAACCATCCTAGTGATAAAACTGCATGAAGTAAAGCTCATTTTCCTCCTGATTCCTGTTTCAGTTTCAAACTCCAAAGCCAGCTTCCCTACAGCTGGCAATCTGAAACGAGTAAGCTCATGCCACACACTCCTCCCAAGTTTTTCCCCACATGAAGGCAGCAGTCAAGCGCTTTAATAATAAAACACGGAGGCTTCACAGACTCGTAACCTCAACCACAGTTTTGGCTTCATTTCTTTCCCAGTGACTACAGAGGAGCATTGCAGAACTGACTTGGTGCAACGCTGTCAGCTGACACGTGAAAGGCCATCTGAAATGCCTGCCCTCTGCTTCCCCACATCGATACACAAGTCGTCCAGTCTCACAAAACCTCAGCCACGAGCTCACCGTTTTGCACAAGCAGGAGAGGAAACGTAGGCAGGTATAGAAAACCCCAAAGGCAGACCTGAAGCGAGGGAGATGTTAACCACACGCAGCTCTTTCTTCAGCAGGTGTGTGTCAGTCCCCAGCAGCAGGTGGGAGCCCGCACACACACAAACTCACACACTTACACACACTTTTACTTATAAACGTACGAACTTATACTTGGAGTCTGCAGGCAACAGCTACACCAAGCCCCAACCTAACCCTAATGACCTGGGCAAGTCCGTGCAGTAGCAGTGGCCTTGCAAAGAGCAGAACTATTTCTCAAAACAGACTTTTTATACAGCAATGCAGGCTTCAGGGGGAAGGAAAGGGGGGAGAAGAGTATTCTTGCATTGGTGTCTCATTCAAACTGCATTTCACTCCTCTCTCTTCCACTTTTCCAGAGGTTGGCATTGATTCGTAGAGTGGCAACACATGAATCTTAGTCTGAGACTAAATCACATTGAACAAGTTTGTTCAAAAGTAGTACAGAAAGATCAACTGTAACAGCAAATTATGAAGCTGATATAGAATACAGAATGGTTTGGGTTGGAAGGGACCTTCAAGATCATTGAGTTCCAACCCCCTGCCCTGGGCAGGGACCCCTCTCACCAGCCCAGGTTGCTCCAAGCCCCATCCAGCCTGGCCTTGAACCCCTCCAGGGATGGGGCAGCCACAGCTTCTCTGGGCAACATGTTCCAGTGTCTCACCACCCTCACAGGAAAGATTTTCTTCCTAATATCTAATCTAAATCTCCCCTCTTCAGATTTAAAACTGTTCCTCCTCATCCTATGGCTCCACTCCCTGATCAAGAGTCCCGCCCCATCTCTCCTGTAGCCCCCTTTAGGGACTGGAAGGGGCACTAAGTCTCCCTGGAGCCTTCTCTTCTCCAGGCTGAACAACCCCAACTCTCTCAGCCTGCTGTATCAAATCCTGTTAAGTTTTAAGTGTAATGTGTTGATCTGCAGTTGATCTGCACTTGTTCCAAATAGCCACAAAATACGGCATTTGAAGAACCACTGCATTTAATTATAAGGTAGTTAACAAGATGCTGACTTTGTAACATGCTTTAGAACGTTAAAGCTGCTCTAAAAATAACATTAATACAGAAATTCAATTAGCTTAACTCAGTGCTGCAAAAAATCCTAAAATCTGCCCTTAGAACAGGTTCCCTTATTAAAAATAAGACAGAGCCCCACACAGTCACAGTATAATCCATTTATTAGCATACCTTGTGAGCCATTGGTGTTGATCCAGGGGACACGACAGTTTTGGCACTTGACTGATTTTGGAGGTGCTCGGCCTCTGGTTTGTAGAAAGGGATTTTCACAGGACTGGGATACTACACAAAAGAATGTTTCTCCTTAAGATGAGGAATTAAATATTTTTCTTAACACATAAAAATATAAGCCCACGAGATGTGCATTGGTCTGGGTCACAGTGCCTTGTTCCACAAGGAGTGGTCCCAAGCTGGTTACCTGCAAGGGCTGTTCTGTTCCCTCCAGCTGCAGGAGATTCCCAGGGAGTCTGACAAGATGGTGTTAAATACCACAGCGCAGTTCAACTCTCCAAGGCTTTCACTTGATTGCTGAATATACACATAAAAATCTGTCTTCAAGTGGTTTCACCACAGATATTTTTTTTTTTTTTGGTTAATAGACTTAAGGATATTGGGTTCAGAAAGGAAGGAAGACAGGAAAAAGGCAGGCACAACTCTCTTACCCCCGAGATAGCAAATATCCATGTTCCTAGTTCCTCACCAACACCTCTGCTAATACCTCTCAGAAACTGATCTCTGGTTTCTATTCTCTGCTACAAGGGTAAAAGGGTTACAAGGACAATCAACAACATCCTGTCCAGGTTAATAAACAGCTGCCTGATTAATTACAGCACAGAACATAATTCATGGAAATCATCAGAACAGCGTTCAGCGACAGGAAAGGGAGAAATCTTTAATCCAGCTTCAACTGGCCAAAGCCTGGGCTGGTGTGAAGACAGGGCTGATAAGGGCACTGCAGGACAGGGAGACACTGGCACTGGGTCAGCCTTTGTAGAGCATTGGGGCATTCCCTCAGAGAGGGATACCTGGAGCACTAATAGCTGCTCCCTAAACCCTTACCACAGCCAAGGTTCTGCTCCTGCCCGTGCTCCCAGCCAGTGACAGTGACATTCCCTTTCCCACATCACCAGCACATGCCATACTGCAAGTTTAAAGCCAGCTCCTGCACACACACATAATACACAGCGCTGAAAAACGCTTCCAGCGTTGCCTACGATAGAAAATCATACTGAAAATAATCAGCAGATGGCACAGCCTTCCCTGGCAAACTGCATTCAGTTCTGGGTACCAAAGCTTAAAGATCCAGCAGAAAGAGAAGACATGGAGAGGGAGTCAGCATGTCATCAGATAGTCAGGCCATTTCGGTTGAAGAGAGACAGAGAAACCACAATTTCAGAAAAGGGACTATCTCTAGAGTAACGGGTGACAGAGACTATACTGCCATCGCTGAGAACACAAGGACAGATGGGATTCAATGAAGACAAAAGGCAATTAATTCAGGAACCATAAAAAGAAATTATGTGCTATGGAGAATAAAATTATACTGGTTCTCATTGCCAGAAAATATTGAGGCTGAGAGTTTAGTTGGATTAAATTAGGGATTAAACATTTATATGAAAGATGAAGGCTGGTTACATTAAATAGCTTTTTAAAAGTTAGGGATATAAACTCTCACTCCGTAGGAAAAAAAAACAAATCACAAAAGGATAGTGCATAGTGTTTGTACAACACCTAGAGGACTGAGTACTTGTTCTTCTATTTTTAATGATAATAATAGGAATGCAAGTAATTAATTTAAATGGGCCAAGAACAAAATTCCCCAAAAGGAAAGGCTGTTAAAACTTGTTCAGCACAAACTCGCGTGTACTATCCTTTGAAACACCTGCTGCTGGCCAACATTAAATACAAAATACAGTCCCAGAGTGGCTGACTGACAACCAGGCAGTTCAAGCAAGCTTGAGAGCAAAGCACTCGAGTTTGGTTTGGGCCACAGCCCCACTTTAAACAGTAAAGAGCAACAGTGGTGCTCTGAACGGGTCTGAGGAGATTACTCACTCCCTGTGTTTATTGTGTATCTATATCCCAGGAGTTTTTCCATGTTTCATGGGAGAACTGTGAACACAGAGATATTAAAGACTAACATCACAAATAAAGGGCAGCTAATAACTACGGTGAATGAGGTACCAAGAGAAAGTCCCCACGATGCTGTTAAATCATGACTCAACACCTGAATGTTTGAGATTAACAGTACATTCGGATTTAAAGAAAAATAACGTGTCTATTTAGCCTTTTGAGGTCACATTTTTAAGTTCTTCGTAGTAATCACAAGGGCAGGAAAGCTATTGTCTCTTAAAAATGAAGATTTACTCTCACACCAACAACTAATTCTAGGAGATGCTGCTTTAAGGAAGAAAAAAAACCCCAACCAAACCAAAAACAACTCAAAAGAACCAGTATATTGAGAAAGCAGCAATAAAACCATAGCATCTGGCAACTGGAAATGTGTGATACGGGATTACAGCAGGAGGAACAAGCATCTCTTCACAGGGACAGACAGTTTAAAAGGATGATATGGGAGCAGACCTGCTGTTCAGAAGAGAGAACGTTCCCCCTAAAGACATAACAGGGAAGGAAAAAAAACCCCAACTGTTGGCCTGTTCCTCACTTGAGGCCAAATCTTCTGATTCCTGGAATTGAAGAGAGCTGCTATGAAAAAATATCTGAAGATTTCCACTATGCCAGAGCCTGGTGCCATCTTCTGAGCATCTCACCTCTCCTTGCAGCATGTTTCAAGTACACAAACATACAGAAACGGGAGCAGATTCACAGAGGCAGGTATCTCTCCACTTCTACCATTTCCATGTGGCAGGGTGAAGGAACAAGTGTGATTACATTATAGGACTCAGACAGTCAGACCAACATAGACTTATCATTCTTATCAGTGTGCACCTGCTTTCTCTGCTCAGAGATTATGGACTAAAGTGAAACCAAAGACTTTAAAGAATCAGCCATTAACTGCTTTTCTCCCAGTTCTATGTTAAAGTCTTTTCCCAGCATCCAATGACAAAATAAATCTCTGTCAGTCAGTCACAGGCCAGAAACCACAGCCTTTTCTGCTGCTGTGGAGCAAAAGGACGACACGTTGAAGTTCCTAGAGCTCAGACATTTTCATTTTAGCTTGGTCACTTTCTTGATCCAGGGTACGTATTTGCTGACCTTTGTGTACACACCAGGGGAATCCTTCCGACCGCAGCCGTAACCCCAGGAAGTGATCCCCAAAATGATCCAGCGCCCGTTTGACCTCTGGCACATGAGTGGCCCTCCGCTGTCACCTTGGCAGCTGTCCACCCGTTTCTCTTCGGAGAGATTCCCGGCACAAATCATGCGGTTGGTGAACTTCTGCCCATAACGGGCCTCACAGTCTTCCCGTGGGAGAAGAGGCACCACCCCCTGCAGCAGGGTTCTCGAATAGGACTTCCCTGGAACAGAAGAGACCAGCCAGACCAATTCACCTACGGGCAACAGCAACGACCTGGAGCAACGGTGCTCCACACAAAAGCAGATGTTTGTATGTTTAATGTCAAGACTGCAGCACAGAAATAGGCCAAGCTCAGCATCTCTGAACCACCAGAAAACAGTATTGCCAAGCCAGACCACAAAAAAAGAGCTGTAAGATCAAAGAAACGGGGAAGAGGTTGGAGAAAGAGGTGACATCAAAGGATGAGCCTTACTCCTGGTTCTGCCAATAAGTAACTTGAACCTCGTTCAATTTATTTCACCTCTCTGAGCCTCCATTTCCTCCTCTGTAAAACACGAGCAGTGTTTTCTCAAGAGAATAAATGCAGTAATATTTGTGAAGTGCTCAATCCTCAGAGAAGTTTTAGAAGATGTTTCAGAGACGTCCAAATATTATTCAAAGGGAGCTCACTTCATTTTGGCCAGATTTGTCTCTTTTTGCTCAAATCTCTTTATTACCCCAGACTTAGGCAGAACACAAGGTTCCCATGCTATATTAGAGTGTGACCTTTCTGTGCCCAAGGTTTATAGGAAGTTCACAAGGTAGCAGGTAACTGCGCCTCTCGTTAGGAAAGCCGGGTTTCGTGTGTGGGAGGGATTCCAGCCATTAAGTCCCAGTACAGCTTAAGGGAGCTACATGGCCAAGTTTCTCCTTGATCCTCCCCAGAAACCCCGAAGTGACATGTGCACCTGGTGCAACTCACTCCAAAGACAAATGTATATTTGCAGTGAAACGCTTGGGGTAACAGCTGGGAAGGATGGAGAAGTCCAAAATCAACAGACAAGCTCCTGGGGCTATTTGCCTTTTGGCAGCGAGTCTTTCTGAACATATGGCTTTGCTCCAGTGACAGCAGCCCCAGAAAGGCCTCCTTGCCCCACGCCCTGTGTTGCACCTCTGAGCCCCAAATGGGGGAGGACTGGACAGCTGGTTATAAAGTGGTGTTTAGAGTTCAAAGCTGTCTCCAGACCTCGGTAATGCATGCATGTCAGGACTCCACTGAGCCCAGCATTTTAAAACATCACCTTGAGAGTGTTAAGTATTTAATATTTAATACTTTCTAGAATATTCCCTGCTCCCTTTTACCTAGGAAGCTCCATAGCAATGTGCTGCAAGAGGATAGGTACAGGCTGTTTTGAACCTAGTGCAGAAAACAACCTCAGAGCCCAACTGTCCCTGCAGCAATACCCAGGGAGATCAAGCAAGGTTGTCCGAGAGAGATTCCTTCCACCTCTGAGCCCCTACTTCACTACTACAGTATCATGAAGGCAGGTCATGGAAACATGGGGGCCTCCCATAGGCTTTATACACCAGCTCTGCACAGGCTACTGCCTAAGGGATCTGCTGTGGGCAAAAAAAGGAGGGGGGGGGGGAAGAGAGGACTGCAGCCACACAGCAGCATCACCCTCCCACAGCTTCAGAAGGATGCTACGGCAACCAAAACTTCCACCATGGGCATGCTCAAGAAGCCTCAAAATGAGAAGAAAACACAATGGCACAAAAATCATCTCGCCTCTCTGCTCCTTGGCACCATGTGCTGGCACAGGCAATAGGAGCAGTGTAAACATGGCCTTGAGTTGTGCAGACATAAACTAATGGCCCGTGTAGGCTCCTGAACTCAGACTTCCCCAACTTTTTACCTCCTCAAAGCCCCATCGCTCACCTGTGTCTCCCCAGCCAGAGATGATGCAAGCCTCCCTGTTGATGTCGGACTTCTCTTTCCTGTCGGGCAGGCAGACGGGCAGAACATGGTGATTGAAGGAGAGACAGTGCCCATCTCTGCCCCGCATCCGGACAAGAGCAATGTCATTATCGTTGCTGCCAGCCCAGTAGTTTCTGTGGAGGACGATCCGCTCCACAGGCAGCTCCCTCTCAAACTCGTCCTTCACGCCCGTGTGGTAATCGCCCACCCGCAGCAGGTAGCGCCGCACATCAACACCAAACCTGGAGAAAAAGATGCTCAAGGTCTTGATAATTCTACAGCCTCACTCAATTTTCAGTTGCTGAGAGACTGAACCACATCCTGACACACTGATAAAACAGTGCCAGCTACATCTTTAGCAGATGTGATAACGCCAGCTGTTAGGGTGAATCGATATCCCATGCACAAGACGTTTTTTGGGGTTTTTTCCCCTCTAAAAAAAGGGCTGCAACATTTGCAAGGCATGTGACCTTGAGTTCACAGTTCCTTAAAGCACTGCAGAATGGCAAAATGCTGGTTCCCTTTAAGTTGTAAAGCCTCAAAGTTAAGAGGGCAGGTGTAAGCAGTGAAGGATAAAGCAATTTGAATCATCCCTAGAAGTGTTCCCAGATCACACACATCATAACCTGAAGGTCTCATTTTAGAAACATTGCTCCTGTAGTTCCACTGGGCTGGGAGGATAGCCTTGCATGAGGTTATTTGCCCATCTTTGAGTATCCCTCAGGGTTCCCTGTTCACCAACGCACCTTTTGAAGCAGTGGGCTGCAGTCACTACCCAGCAGCTGCTGATCAGCGTTGCCCCACACAGCAGACGAGTATCTCGACGAAAACCCTTCAATCTTAGTGAGGCTTGCCACGGCCAACCTCCTCTGAAAAAGAAACAAGGGAGTAACAGGCATCACACACAGAGAAGCTGTTCTCTTTTCCCATCCCCTCTGCCTCATCTGGGCTCAGCTGGTGTGCGTTATCCCCTAGATGAGCCCACTGGTTCAAATAAAGTTCAAAAATCTCCAGTGAAAACATGTGAATGTATTCAGCATTTGCCAGGCTATTTCCAGAGCCTGTAGGAAAGCTGGAACGAGTTCTGGTTATACAGGGTAGTACCTGAGAGACTTGTTTCCACCTATGATCCTTTTCTTGCGACGGTGAAGCAGGCGCATCCCACACACACCAGATGCTGGACCTGCACAGCAAAGTTAGAAGCAGTTAGGTAGGTACCTTCAGCTTAAGTATGATGAATTGGTGTCACAGAGCCAAACACCATTCACCTTCCCTGAGGGCATTAATCCTTACAGTAGCTGACTGCATTGTGTTGTCCATACGGAATTCATAGAAGATTTGATCCCATAGTTTTCCTCAGTTTTGGTGGAGGTGCTCACCTCCAGTATCTGTAGTCTTATGCCAGGAGTGGGACCTCTACAGCTATTTCCTCAGTGCTCTAAACCCCAAAGTTTACTCATGGCTATGGCTCTAAGGAAAGGTATGGTGACTTGGCTGTGGGGAAGTTCTGCAGGCTCAAAGGCCTGACGTGGGTGGAACTCCTCATTCTGGAGCACCCTGTGCTCCTAAGAAGAGACAATGAAAACAAGGAAAGAGTAGGAGGTGCAGGACAGGACATGCTTATTTTGTAGGTGAAGTTTCAGCCAAAGAAGAGAAGAACTACAGGAGAAAAGCATAAAAACACTCAGAGATACTACGGCCAGAGCCCCAAATTTCTACTTAGAAGAAATAGGCACGTCACCTGCTTTGATGTCTTGGACTTTCTCTTCCACGTAGTCACAGATCACACCAGCATCCTCGCTGTGCCAGCAGCTGTGAATCCCGGTGTCAGGCCTGACACACTGCCCCAGGGTGTGCTCCGTGCCACTGCATTCTACGTTGTCCAGATGGATGGGCCCATGGCCTTCACCAAAATAAGCCATTGCCCTGGCTTTTGCTGTGCCTCTGCAATTAGAGAGAGGGTGGCTAATCTGCAGTAAGCAGGAGGCAGGTGAACCTGATGCACCAGCACATTTTAAGAGAAATAATATTTGTGTGACTCCACACACAGACAGCAGCACAGTACTTGCTGAAGGCACTGTGAGAATAGGATGCTACTCCCTCAAGCATATGCAGATATCCCAGAACTAAGAAACGAAGTCCCCAAGTCCAGAAAGAAGCAATCCCCCCGAGAGCTGCTTCTATCTATAAGATGGATGTACCAGAATCCTGAATTCTTACCTGAATCCCAGCTGCCTGCAAACTACTGTGGCATCTCGGTCTGTCCAGCCCTCATCACAGACACTGCCCCACTGCCCGTTCAGGAATATCTCAACCCGTCCCTCCTTGGTGCTTTCTCCATCCACCAGCCGCACAGGAGGCCCTGCAGCAGAAAACACATGGGTCACTGCAAGCAAAAACACCAGAGAGTGTGAGGTACCCAGAACTCGGGTTCGATAGGAAAAGATGAATCCCAGACTTCAGCAAGCTTTAAAAAAAAAAAAAAAAAAAAAAAAAAGAGAGAAAGAAAAAGGAAAAAGAAAAAAGAGTGTTTCTACATGAAGACTACGTCCCTCATTTCACCTCTGTGCTGAATCAGAAAATTACATACATGTTAATTTATTAAACACATACTGGAAATAATTAGTGGATCATATTCTGAAAGCTGAATAAAGAGGAGAACAAGAACAGAAGGAAAGTTATTGACTCCTGAGCCAAGAGTGGACAAGCTTAAACATGCCTTGGAAATAAATCCATTAAATTATAAAACTATTATATTATTCTAGGCAAGAGAAGAGTTCTATATCCAAGAAAAACAAAAAAGTTGGATGCCGTCTATTTCAATAAAAAATATTTGACAAATTGGAAAGTCTCCTCTGATAGGAAAAAGGGAGGGTATCAGGCCTCATATAGAAAAGGAAAATATGCTAACTTGAACACAATTCACAACTAATTCACAATTTTAATTAAAATTGTGCCATCCATACAAGAGAGTGCCAATTTCCACATAACTGCTCCTCACATCTAAAGTCCTCCTGTCTTGGCAAGGTGTGACACCAGTGTAACCACACCAGTTACCTAAAGGGTCTAGTTAAAGGGGTCCTGTGTTCCCACGGAGGTGGGACTGAGGTGTCTCATGAGTGAGCAAGGGCACACTCAGGCAGCCACCATTCCTCAGCCCCTCAGGTTTGTTCTAGAGGCTACCAATACAATTCCCTCCAGTTTCAGTTTCTCTGCAGCTCTGACCATGTGTCTGGTGGAGCTGCAGCTCTGAGGCTGTGCCCCAAGACAGCCAGGCCTCGTTCCTAGGAGTTCCTCCTCAAAAAGCAGCCCCCTCACTGAGAGAGCCCAGAGAAAACTACCACATCTGCCTGAGCTTCTGAAGGACCAAGTCAGCAGGCGACACTTCCCCACCGTCCAGGGCAAGAGGCAAGGTGATTTACCCAGGCTGCCATCCATGACCGTGTTGCCTTCGGGGGAACAGCGGACTCCCACGTCCTCAGCGTGTGAGCAGTCATGCTGCCCCCAGTTGCTGTGGGGACAGTCCAGGAGGGACAGCTCTGTCCCCACACAAGCCACATCATCCAGTAAGATAAAGCCTTGGCCAGCAGCATAGTCTCCTTCAGAGGCCAGAGTAGCAGGACCACTAGAGGAAGGAAACAGAACGTAACATTAGAGTCATTAAAACTCATGAATCCCGCAGAGACACCCACGCTCAGACCCCAAAGGAAACTCCCCTGCAGAGCTCAGCTGTGATATCAGTGGCCTCCTGACCTAAAGCACTCAGTGACACAAGGGATGGCAGCCAAGCAGCTTGCACATCTTACCAGCTTCTGTTTTCAGGGAGGTCCTCTCAGACCAGTCCATTTTCTAGTGTCTGGTCAGAGACAGAGTCAGAGAGGCACAGGGGACCAGCAATACCACGGAGGCTGCTTTGCAGACGTGACACCAGGTACATTAATTTGGGGAGGCATCAAAAATACCAACATTTAATTAATTCCACCTCCTTTTATAGGAAGTGGTTACCTGGATCTGAAACGCAGAAAGCTGCAAACTTTTAGGCACTACAAGAGATGACAAACACAGTATGCAGCTGAACTCCAAGGGGAGAACTTATTTTAGTTCTTTTCTTCAGTCTATAAAGCTAAAATTTTACAAGGATACCCTAATCATACTAAGAAATCCACAAAAACCTTAGAGTATCCTTATTTTAAGTCTTCCCCAAACCATACCTGGACGGACAACAGCTCACCGATGGGCTGAAAGAAAAGCATTATGAAAATCCCTAATACCACCATTTTTGCCCTGGTTGTCTTTGTTCAGCTAGGGAAGCAGGTGATGTGTTTAGCTGACAGAGCAAAGGGGGTGGCAGTGCTGAGCTGATACACCTGGAAATTTAAGGTGTATTGAGAGAACTTTCTGACTTTGACGAGGGGTTCATAAAGACAGCATCAAGCATGTTACCTGCTTTCAAAACATAATTATTTTTTTTTTTTGTCCCCCTGGGAAAGGGTGTGGATACCTATGAGTCTGTCCTGAATGAATGTTGTGTAATGGTAATAACCCTTTTAACAAAGACAGCACTGAAGGAAGTAAGGTCCAGCCTATCCCAGTGAAGGGGGATGGAATCGAAGCCCTGAAATTAGGAAGCACAGACACTACACACAATCTCCATCCTACCTGAAGCCCAGCTGCCTGCAGACCACCTGGGCACCGAGGTCTGTCCAGCCATCATCGCATACTGTGCCCCAGTCTCCGTTGTAATAAACTTCTACCCTGCCTTCTCTGGGGCTGAGGCCACCAGCCAGCCTGACGGTGCCCTCTGCAAGGGGTGGGAGAAGGAAAGGTCAGCACTCAATAGGGATGAAAAGAAACAGCCTGCGCCCCACTGCTGAAGTCTCTGTACAGCCCACGAGTAAAAGAAACTGAAGACTCAGATATCTGTGGGTACTCAAAACCCAAACATCTCTGTTTGTCAGGTGAGGATTCACCTCAGCTTTTCCCTGCCTCCTGTGGAAAGCAATGGGAACACCACCACCAAGCCTGGCTCGGATCCGTTTCCACCAGCTTCTTGCTCTCTGCCCCCATCTCTGGCAGCCCTTGTGGGAGCCATACAGAGGAGCCCTGTGGGATCCTGAAGCAGAGGAGGTACCTGCTGAGGAAGCTGTGTGATATGGGGAGTAAGACAGAGCACATCTGACTGGCATAGAGCTGTAGATCTGTACCTGTGAAAGGGTCACAGGAGACCCCAGCATCTTCGATGTGGTCACAGTTCTGCTGTCCCCAGTCACTTTTCTTGCACTGGTCGAGTGAGAGTTCATTGCCTGAGCACTCCACTTCATCCAGCAGGATTGGGCCAGATCCCTGCCCATAGTGAGCCCATGACAAGGCTTTCGGGTTCCCACTGCAACAGTACAGACACATAAGCTCACAGTAAGAAAGGTCACAGTCTTGTGTGCTCAGAGTCTGCCTTGCATAGGGACTATCCTATGCTAGCCCAGCATCCTCCTATAGATAATCTGTACTTCTGGCACAGTGGTGTTACCAACTGTTCACTGAAATACCTTATTGGAAAGTTTTGTAATGAGACCTTCCAACACATAACAAAAATGTGCCCAGGACATGACCAGTTCAGACACCTGAGGAGTCTGAGGTCCTCAGAATGATGTCCTCAGAACATCTCAGCAACAGGCAAAACTCCCGCAGATCTCAAAATGGAATCATCTATTTTAAACAATTCTGTACTAATTTGAATTTTCGAATTTCAAGAATGCTCAGTACACAACAGCTCCCACGTTAAGTGCTGAATGGCATCGAGGAGAACGAGGTGCTCTCTCTTGCTTTCCTATCTGAAGAGGATAAGGGCAGTCAGTGAAACAGGATGTGTTTAAACTTAACCAAGTAAACAACTGCAGTTCACATATGAAAATCACCATGACAAGTTATCATTGAGGCCAAGAAAATTTGCTATAGGACATGCGTGCAAAAATACTGTAAACACAGATCTCGGACAGGGATGCACCAACTTTTTTTTTCCCACAGCATAAGCCTGTAAAACCAACAGGAATTAAGTATAAAATCCTTTTATAGGATGATCGGTCCAGAATTATCTCTCCCGGGGTTTCTGTACACTTCTCATAGAAAGGGCTGGTATTACAGTGAAAGGACATGCTCCCACATTCTCCATTCTGCCTACCTCTATTACCACACCATGACTACAGTGAAAGGACATTCTGCATTCTGCCTACCTCTATTACCACACCATGACATACAGCAGGGAAATTACCTGAGTCCCAGCTGCCTACAAACTACTTCAGCATCCCGGTCGTCCCACTGGTCATCACAGATGGTACCCCACTTGCCATCATGGTAAACCTCCACTCGCCCTTCAAAGCTCTCCTTTCCCCCAACTAAACGCAGGGGGGCACCTACACCTGTGCTTCAAGAAAGGGAAAGAGAGCACAACAGAACAAGACAGAGACAAAGCACATCCAGCAGTTCAGGGTGTAGAACCATTCACCAGCCAGAGGAGGTCTTGGAATACTCTTGTCCCACCCTACCACATCCTCCCCTCTAAAAACACCCAAAAGCATCTGTGATGGCAGCCCACAGTATGAGTGCTGCTAGTCCAGGGCCGGCTCTTTAACTGGCTGCTACAGAGACTAGGACTTTGCTGCCTGCAGACAAAAACCTGGTTTGATAAAAAGGGGATGTGATCATAAGCAACAATAATCTTTCAATGATCATAGAAGTATGCCCACTCTGATAATTTGGGATTGGGAAATGATGGATATTTTTCCACTGGAAGTAAGATAAGGACATATATAGCAGCTGGAAGAAGAACACGCTCCAGTGATTGATTGTATCTCCACAGCTTCACTGCCTTAGATTTTGCATCTTATCAGCAACACTAACACAAGAAACAGGGAGTGAACCTCCCCTGGAGATTTACCTTCCGGAGGGACACACGTTACCATGGCACTTCCCTGGCTACAGGCTCCTGACACGGCTTCCCGGTAGCCACACTGCAGCAGGGCTTTCTCATCCCCGTGGCAGTTTGCTGACTGCAGGTGCAGGGGAACAGGCCACAGTCTGGGATGACTCTTCTTCCCAGCTGTGCCGATCTCACTGGTACAGAGAAAGCAAAAGAGCAATGAAATGTTGTATTTCTGCTCGATTTACAAGTTCCCCTCAGCGCTTTCCACTCTCCAGCACATTGTGGCATTTCACATCCCAGCGAGCTCACTTGATTGGGATTGCATAAAGGGGTGGCTATTTACAGTCTAAGAAGAAAGCACAAGCAAGCACAAAGCCCTTCCCACATTGTATTTCTGCTTGATTTACAAGTTCCCCTCAGCTCTTTCGACTCCCCAGCGCAGTTGAGGCATTTCACATCCCAACGAGCCCACTTGATTGGGAGTGCATAAAGGGGTGGCTATTTACAGTCTAAGAAGAAAGCACAAGCAAGCACAAAGCCCTTCCCGCCATCTAACCCATTTTGTCTTCCTTCTTTCTGCAGAGGGGTTGATCTGGTCAGAAAGGGCACCCTCATTTGAGAGTGATAAACAAACCCATCAACAGGTTCAAACATCTGAAGCACCTTCTTCCTTCTCTATGGGCTTTACCTCCTTACTGTTTGGAAGTCTGAAGGTCCAAATCCCAGATTGCTAAACAGGGTTCACAGTCAAAATTTCTAAAAGAAAATTTACTACACAAACTCCATCTGGTAATACTCAAAAGGGGATACGATCTCACAGCTCACTCATCACAGCCTGGAGCACCAAGCAGAAATTATTGCTTTAAAGATTTCTTGCAAATGCTGGCTGTTGTTTGGGATAGCCATGGAAAGAAAACCCTAGGAAAGGACCCTGGTAAGGGGGAAACAAGCCCACAAAACGAACTCCTCTCCCCCAGCCAACACACTGTGCCAGAGGGACTGTAACCAGAGAGGCCATTCTTTCCAAAGCCACATGAGCATGTAACTCTCACAACCAGACTGAGGTTCCCACCTGAGACCTAGTTGCCTGCAGACCACACTGGCATCCCAGTCAGTCCAGTGGTCAGCACAGATGGTGCCCCAGAGTCCATTGTAGTACAGCTCCACTCTACTGTCTTCAGCCAACCGCACAGCACCTTCCAAAAGAGAAGGGGGGAACAAAAAGCTGCTATCTTCTGATGGAGGTTTCAGACCAGCAAGTCTTGGACATGAACCGCACTTGGCTTTTCTCATCCCTGTTTTGCTGGTGCTGTCACCAAAGTGACTTGAATGAAGGAGCACGGGACGTGGCACCTTGGCAGTTCCAGCAACGGCTGCTGGTGCTATGTCCATTTCAAACCCATGGTAATACCAGCAGGAAACAGGTTCTGCCACAGCTCCAGGATTTTCCTTTTGTGAAAGAGGGGTGATTTTACACGCCACCTTGAAAAGGTGAATGGAAATGGTTAGAATCTCTAATTCTTATGCCATTCCACTGATTTATTTACCATCAATCACCTCACCTCTGAGAGTCACTGTTGCTACAGCTAGATGTTCAGTAGCAGCAGGTGTTCAATTTCTCTAAGAAAAGGAAGTGCCCGTGGAAATGCCCTTTCAATTCCCACTGCACTACAAATGCCTACCACTGCTTAGAAAGCACATCTTCTCAGTCAGATATGTGCTGGGAGAGGGGTACACCTCTGCCTGTAGTACCTCAACACAGGCACACAGCACAACTACACTCATTGTATCCCTTTAATGAAGCTGTCTTTGAAACAGCTTCCACTGACAAGGCAAAAGACTTTGTCATTTCATTTATTAAACTAATGCTTTACCTGCTTTGCAAAATGCAGGGAAAGGGGAGGTCAGAAAACAGGAGGGCATACAGATCATTTTCAAGAGCACTGCACTGGAGTCATGGTACTGAGAGAGCTCAGCTCCCTTTCATGCTTCAAAACAAGGAGCAGTCCTTGTGTTGGCACTGCAAGGAATTTTAAAGTAAGCCTATGATGTACCTTACCACAGAAGATTTATAAACCTAACCACAGAAGACTTTTCCTTGTTATATTTGAACTGCTATAATTACACGAGGAGAGCTCTGATATGGACACTTAAGGAGCAGGAGTGGGTTGTTTTCCACATAACTTAAACTGCTTTCAAAGTGGCATAAGTTAACAGTAAAAAAAAAAAAAAAGAAGTCTCCTTGTATGCGAATGAAAACCTCTATACAAGGCATTACAGCTACAGCAGCTTAAATCCACCCCCTACTAGATACAGACGTTCTTCTCCCACACAGTCCTAATTATTTCGACAATTTGGGACAGTTATTGTACTGTGCTTTTTTCACAGCGTGTCCCACCTGCTGCTTGCAAGTCTGTGCAGGACACATTTCTGGCCTGATCCCCCCCAGAGGGTGCAGCCTGGGTGGTGGCAGGGACACGCAGCAGCCCTTACCTTGGTTACAGTCACAGTTAGCCCAGCCGATGGCCCCCGACGCGAGCCGGTAGAAGCACCAGGGTGTAGTTCCCCCATCCGGGTTCCTGCATTGGTTGTGGTCCCCCAAGCCACGGTCTGGGTACTGCTGGATATAATCAGGGAACTCTGCCCAGTTGAGACACGCCGCCCCGGCCTCGGTGACGGCCAGCGAGCCGTTATAATACCCCAGAGGTCCCACACCGCACACGCTGGACGCTGGGCACAGGAAAGGAGCTGTTAGCATCACTTCAGGCATCACCCAGCAAGGCTCAGACGATGCAGGAGACAGCAGGTGATCTCCTGAAACACATCCTGTCTCTGCAGCCTTCATCGCTACTTGCTTGATTTTTAATTCTCTCACTCTTCAAGGCAGCTGCTCAAAGAATTTTTATAATAGGTACTATCTAAAACACACATTGATCTGAAGTCATGAACTGCCCAGACCTTGGAAATGTATTAACTCTGGGCCCAAAGACAGACAACTTGCACTGATTCCCATTACCATTTACTTCAATATAAGTATTCACTTCCTCTGGAGCAGCACTTGAGCCTGGCACACACTCCTCCACTTCCTTCCCCACCTGCTTTGGCACCTGAATCAGATACTCTCTTAAATTTGATCCTAGGCTCTTTAGAAGATTAATTGCCTGTCTAAATTGATTGAAACTGAGAAGAGTTTAAAATTAGCTATAATGTCATTCTATAAAGCAGGAAGGAGGGAAATGACATTGTATTTCATTGTATGTATGTTCCCTATACACATTACTCTATCACCTGGCTTATCTGGACTTGGCCAAATTATAGGAAGGGAAAGAGAACCTATTTTGCGGGGAAGTGCAAGTGCCAATGTTCCAGGACAGTGCCCATGTGAAATATCACATGCAAAGTGGCCCCCAACAATTTAATATGGTCTTTAATAAAATAAGAAACCTCTCACTTCATAACCCTGCAATAAGAAAGAGGGAAACCAGAACCAGACTCTGTGTGAGAGTGGGCTTTTTAGAGTCTGTAACATAGGAAAAGCAGATTCATAAATGGAAAACAGTTATAGGCTGTTTATTCATTGAAAAAGCCAACACTTCCAGAAAAGCCTTCTGCTGTAAGAGCATGTAGGACAAACAGCAAGGGCACAAAGAAACATTGCCTCGTGCCATTTGCCTTCCAGCTACTGCTGAGCCCAGAGGGGGTCAGTGACAGTAGAAGGTTGACTGCAAGGCACAAAAATGATAAGTAGTTACAGGTAGATGTCCAGAAAACACACCGTGCACTTTGCATCAACTGGGACCCTCAGAAGGTTGGGGGGGTGTATGAGAATTCAGCATTTATTAGAACAGAGGAAAGGTGAATGTGCAAAAAAAGACTGAGGCAGAGAAAGAGATGAAAGGAAAAGGACATGTGGGAGGAGCAGGGAACCACAAGGATATTAGGCATGAAGAAAAGAAAGCAGCCTGGCCATTTTGGGGAAGGAGATAAACAGACATTGAGGCACGCAGGAAAAAAGATTGAAGAAGTGATGGGAAGGAAGGAAGAACGCCAGGCAGCAGTGGCTCATCGTACCTATGGTCTCAGATCACCGCTGCAGGAAAGAATCTGCCCGATGACTGAATTAATAACTTCTTGTTCTTACCTGCACTCTGCAAATGGTTTTGGTTGGGCTGAGATCCCAGGAAAGGCTGGGAAAAGAAACAGAGCAAAAGCAGAGAGATGATTATCCGATGAATAAATATGGGCATGTCCTAAAAGCAGCTCGGCCTTTTGCTGCTTTAGGCAAACACACCCTAGTAACCAGCCTCTTCCCTGCTCTCCCCATTGCTCCTCTTCAAATCCAATCACAGCTCTACCCATTAACAACAAAATGAATAATTACTGGCCTGCAGAGATTTACCCTTGATCAAAGCACTACGTTACAAGGTTCTGCTTGTTCTTTTCCAATAGAATTGGAAACCTGAGTGAGATGTCTATGGAAAGAAAAGCTAGAAGAAAACAATTGTTACCAGAAAGAAAAATAATGAATAACCACTTTTCTCTCCCCATGTATAGGGCAAGCCATTTGTGGCCACAGCAGCAAACAGAGATGTATGTATGTGATGGGATGATGCCCCCAGGGATCCCTGTTAAAATAGTAATAAACATCCGTATACAAAGTAGGAAACACCTTAAGAAGGAAATCCAACAAGGATTTTTGGGGATTTTGTTTTTAATAGATGAGAGTATGATATGGCCTATAGTGTTAGTATCCAAATGGGGTTAAATAGCTAAAAACAAAAAATATGAATCAAAGCCCTCAGAATTCCAGCATCCTGTCCAGCCCCAAGACTGCATTTCCTCTGGTAGGCAGTGTTTTTGGTGGTTATAACTTGACTGCTGGCTGAGAGATAGGGATCTCCACTTCAACACCATTGCACAGTGAGCAGGCAGGTGCAAGATCTTCACAGACCCAGAGCAAAAAGAAGAAATTGCACCCGCTTCTGCTAGCTCCTTGTAGTTTAATTCCTTTCTAAATACTTCTATCTGAACATTTCTAATACTTCTATAGAACAAGGAGCTCTAATTCACCGAGCAGGGCTGTACATGTAAAGAATACTAGCTATTGAAAATGGTTCTGTTTTTCTTCAAAATGCAGTAATTTTGCTTTTTCTTAGCTTCACCCCTCCCTGGAAATGGGGAAGAGAAAAATTTGGATTTAAACCAAATCCACCTCTGGAATAAGCAGGAATAGTTTCCACAGACACCTTACAGAAATGACACCTACTCATGTCAAATGCAATTTTCAAATCAAGCTTATGAGTATGGTCCAGCAGGGGTTGACAAACATGGCTAAGCTCCAGCACCACCCTCCAGAAGTCAGAATGTGACACTGCATATTGAAGATGAATTCCTGACATGGTTCAGAAAGAGCAGATCGGATACCAGGTACGTATGCACAAGGGGATGCAGGAACAAAACAGCATTTAAGTGAAAAACCCTTTCCAGCCAAGAATCCATCTGTCTGCACATTATCAGGCTGTTGCAAGCCCATGTAATGGTCTGCGAACTAACAATGCTGAAGGACTTATCTAAGGATCTCAAAGCTCTTTGCAAAGAGAGGTAAGTGAGCTAAGCTACACCTCTGTGACCAAGCCATAATCCAGGTCCCCCGACTCCTAGCTTTTAGTGTGCACCTGCACACACGTGTAAGCCTGCAGGCGACAGAGGGATGGGCTGGACTAGTAACAGGCTATATATGAAAGCCTGAACCTGCTCTTCTTGGAGACAGACCATAAACGAAGGAGCTGCAGTCCAAGCAATATGCTTCCCTTCTAATGAAAGATTAGTTGCTGCTGCCAGTTCCCCTAGCAGCTTCCAAAAATCAAATCCCCCACCACTGCCCATCACCACCACCAAATTGTAGTGCAAGCAGCCTGTGCTGCAGTCACCGCCCCAGGTCCGTGTGGCTATAGATCATCTGTCCACAACGGCAATAGGGGCAATCAGTCCATCAGCAAAGAACAGAAACAAAGGATCTCTCCTGCCAGGGTCACTGCAGCGCTTGAGAAACATAGGAAACCTGAGCCAAAGCATCTGCAAGCCCTTGTGCATCCTGCTTTCCTGCTTTGCTTCCTCTCCTGAATTTCATATGCACAACGAAATAAATCCCTCCCCAAGCCCCCAGCCCTTCCCAGAGACCACAGCTGCCTAGACGCTTTGGAAAACACAGTCAAGTAATAACAAGATCCACTTACAGCGAGGATATTAAAAGAACCATGTGACTTCTTACGAGCAGATAGAAGAATAACCATTTCTTACCTCCACGCATCTGAGACAGGATAACAGACTCGAGAGCTCTACCAGGAGCCCAAGTACTTTAGGGATCTCCATCCTTCTTGCATAAAGTGGGCAGAAGGTTCTTCAAGCATCACATTCTCGTTCAGCTGCGGGGCTCAGCGGCTGCCTCCTCCCCGGGCTCTGCAGTTGGGCTTCCTCAGGAGCAGGGCACTAGTCGCTCCGCTCCGGAGGGAGCGGGATGCCTCTTCCATTTCTGTGCAGGGAAAGGGCTGTAAGGGAAGAGATCAAAGGTCCTGGCAGCATCCTAGAATTTCACTTTCTCCTTCCTCTCCTCATCTCTTCTCCTTGATTCTTCTCTTCGGAAAGGGGAGGAGGGGAGAGAAATAAGGGAGGAGAACATGCCCCAGAATTTCTCCAGCACCCTTAAAACCGGGAGGAGGCAGGGGAAGGGCGAGTGGGCCACCCCCCCCGGCGCTGTCCCTCCCTCTACCCGTGCTCCGGGTGGGCGCTTCTCCCCGGTTCCAGCCTCCTCCTCCTCCCGGGGGCTGCCTCTTCCTCGGCTCCCCGCAGCCCCACGGCTCCGGCCGGGGCTGGATCCCGCCGCGAAACCTCCAGCAGCAGAACCGGGGAAGGAAACAAACGGCTTGTGCGCGCACGCTTGGCAGAGATTAGGCTTGTTGGGACGGAATCTGGACTTTACCCCCCCGCCCCTTCCCACCGCTGCCTCCTCCATTAGCTCCGCGCAGCTTCCCCGGGTCAAACCCGCCTCAGATTTTGAACCCAGGTAAACGGGAAGCCCAGAAAACTTCACCTGAAGCGCCTTCAGATCTCCCCACGGAAAACCCCACAGGTGGCACAGCCCCCTCCAGGGTGCGTTTCAGCCCTGCACCTTGCCATCGGCATGGGTGTTGCCTCCAGGGATCTTTTCCATCCCGCGTCCCCTTGACCTTGGGCTGTAAAGTTATTTTCAGTCATTGGGTAGGATGCTTTCCAGGGGGCTCATCGTTATTGTATCGCTACGAACAACCCTATGGGGGTTTTTACTGTTTTCAGCTTACTGCTCCTTCACAGGAATTAGGGTTAAGAGGCTACAACAAAAGTTTTATACATTATTAAATCTGAGAAGGGAATTGGTCAATTTGAAGCTGTTCAGTCTTGGAATTATTATTTTATATTTTTAACACCTTCCCTCTATTGCTCCTCAGCTCAGTCTAATGGGCATTTCCTCCATTTATATTCTGATTCTGGAGGGATTAACTCCTGGTGTTCTGCAGCGCAAAACACGAAGGTCACCTTAAGAAATGAGCTCACTTCTGGCCAAGTCTGCTGAGCAGCATTTCCAAAGAAACCTTCAGCATAAAAACAAGGAACAGGCTGATAAAAATCCATTGGCTTGACAAAAAGCCTTCTTTTTTTTTTTTCCCCCCCCTCGCTTATTGCCCATTACTCATTTCACATAACAGTTGTGTGTTGCCTCATCCTCAAGTCACTCATCAAATGCAAGGAAATAACCACTACATGCTGGATCTTTTACAGGAGTGGTAGGAGGGAGCCCTTTCTTGAGTGGATTTGTACCATTCTGGACGCAGTGGATTTGGCCAAGAATTACACTCGGTTAATTAGGAGCAAATCTCCTATATCCTCCTAGCAAGGGAGGCAGATGATCGGGGCAACAGAGGATGGAAATAGCTTTGGTGCTACAGCTTGCTCTAACTCTAAGACAGTGCTGGCAAAAAGGAGCAAAACAAGAAGATGGGAATGTGCTGGAATTTAGAACCAGGTACTCCAGTGAAAACACTGGGAAAGGATACACTGGAGGCAGGATGAGAAAATTCAGAGAAATCTGCTTCTTAGTCAGGAGTACAAAGGTGGTTGCTGCCCCTTCACAACTCCCATAAGACCCTCACCTATTTCCTCCTTTAGGCCTGGAGAGAAACAGCCACATTCAACCCTGGACAGGTACCTATAGAGTTTAAAACCTCTAGCAAAAGCCTGTACTAGATTTCTCTCACAGTAATGTTTAAGTTGCTTTCCTCCAAAGGTGAGGCTTTTCTAGATAAAGTGATTTTAAAGAAAACACAGACCAGTGCACCAAAAGCAAGAGAAGTCCAAGTTTGGTGTTCAGTTTCTGGAGGAGTGACAAACTGTAAAGACAAAGTGAGTTTTGCAGTTGTCTCCTCTGTGGTGGCTCCTCTTTTGGAACGAATTCCTTCTTGCCAAGACTCCCCCTGGTTTTGTGGCACATGGAATGAAATTTTCTTGAGAGAGATGGATCTCAGATTCTCAAAAGCTTTTCATGGCTACGTGGCCCTCTCTAAGGTGGAGAGGAAGACCAAGAAGGAAACGATACTAACATAACTATGGCAGTTTAGATAAGTAACATATATAAAGATAAGGTAGAACATAGCTGCAACTTTCCTGTGTGGGCAAGTTTGGAATACTTGTAAAAACCTAAGTCCACTATTTAACACAAATCACCTTCTCTCCCTAATAAAAGCACAGTTCTATAATAATACGGCCATGATTTCCTACAGAAGCTTTCTGTCTCTATTTTTCCAGATTATTCTGTATTTACCCTTCTGAATAAGGAGCATAATCTTCTCAAATGCTCTTGGCTCTCTGGAATTCAACCTACTTCTCCAGAACTGGCAGGACTATTATTCCTCAAAACCAGCTGAAATGTCAATGCTTCCTCCATAATTGGTCTTCAGTGAAAGCCTAAAAAAGAAAGGTAGTTAATAGAAATCGTACCCAGAGCTGGTGTAATACTCAGGCTGTAAGGAACAGGAGGAAGATCAAGGAATTCCAGCAGATTTGCTTAAATCCCATAAATCCGATTTAGGAGGGTAGAACAGTTAGTCAGCTTTTGTTTAATTCTTTCCCCACCACGCAATCACATACAGGTCCCTTCAGCAATGTTCTTAACCAGTGGGCTGAGCACCAGAACCCAGCTGTCTTTTATTCCCCAGCAACAGCATCACAGGGTGGTACAAGCCCTGAGCTCAGAGAGGACAGTGGCATTCAGTGATGTTACGCACACGAACTATCCATGGAATGATCTCCCAATATGAGCCATATGTCACAGAACATGTTTAAACACCCAATATAAGCTTAACAGTGAGATAAGGGGAAACTGCAGCAGCTCAAATTGCCAAGGACAATCAGTAACCAGAGGATTTTTGGTCACAACACGGGATCCTGAGTCAAAAGAACCGCTACTTTTAAAAAGAAGCGCTGTAAAACCTGGGTGCGTCTCAAAAGCATTCTCCTTCCTTCCTTCTTCCTCCAAACAAATACATTTGTTTAAGGACTGGAAAACCTTAGCATAGTAATTTTAAGCTTGCAGTAGACGTGTGAAAGGTCAGAAAAAACCCCAAACAACTGAACTTGTGAAACTCACTGCGAAGCAGTAAAATGCAAAACCAGTTCTCCAGATTAGCAGGAGCTGTGCAAAATTTCAGAAGTAAAAATAGAACAAAAAAGCATCACTTTCTCCATTACAGCCAGTAATGTATAATGAAACAGTTCTTATATAATGAGACAGTTCTTCACAGACACTAGAATTTGGTACTTTTAACACAGCCGACAGCTTAAAAGATGCAAAACTACACTTGTATTGTAAATTTTAAGACAAAGAAAGAAAAAACCATCATCAACAGAATCTGTTCCTCGCTTGTCTCGCTTGTCTCCTTCACAATAAAGAATGAGCAAGTAGCTCTCCTTCCCAGAGAGCGTCTTTTGAACTGAAAATGCAAAATGTCATAGAACCACAGTGTTTTCCCAAACTGAGATGCAGACATCATGTTCTTACTGACCCTAAGTCCTCTGAAAGACCCAATCACGCCATAACAACAATGAGCATCAGCTACTCTGTGGGATAACGCACTAATGGGCCACTGTAAGTAAGAGTTAAATGAAAATTGCTTCAATAACTTGAAAGCAGCCACTTGACCAATATTGATGTGCTGAACAGGTACCAGCCTGGGGCTCCACAGAATTCTGCTCCAGCTCCATGCAAACTCTACAGTCACACAGTCTGTATGTGCTTGATGCTCCTCTTGCTCTATTTTTAATCACTCCAAAGAATTAGTGATATAAATGGTTATATATTTAGTTCTCTGAGGCACTGCATTTTTCTTACCAAGTAGGTACTGGTCTGAAAACTACAGGGACCTTCCTGCAGTTCTGTGGCAGTGAAAAAAACCCACCAAATCAGAACTAGTAATTAATGACATGATTTCAGTATCGGTCCATGCTTGAACTTTCTCTCCTTCTTTCAGTTTTTTTACCAAAACAACGGAACATTTTGTTGCAGATTATGAGTTTCCAGCCAAACAACAGTCTTGCATTATTTTATTAGAGTACAGACAACTCCATCCATCTGACACAGCACCATATCAGTCCCACCTGCAAATCAGAGGACCTAAATCACAAGCTTCTACATTAAAATTATATTTGATCCTTACCAACGTATTGTGTATTAACAAGGCATTTTGCTGGAGATTTCCTCCCCACTCTACAACCATCTTGTACAACAGCAGGAATTAAAAAAATTTCAAGAGGAATGAAACTGTGTATACACAGACGTAGGAGTACGAGTCATGAGATTACTACTATCAGTTTTAAGTTGGCTCAATGTCTGGGCCTGAGCACTTTTTGATAGCAGCTCAGAAGTTAGGCAGGAAGCTTACACCTGAGGAAAAGTTCCCCCCTGACTGTTAGAAAATGCACTTACATGCATTCCTACAAGATTTTATTTCACAGCAAGGACCCGACTCCACACTGTGGCAAGTTGAACAACATGCTGCAGAAATCCTAAGACCGTGAGACCCAAAAACCTCCTGAACAAAGTCAGCTCATGGTCAAGATGGGTATTTTTCACTCTGGAAACAAAGGTGCAGTCAAGATCCGCACAGCAGCACTGACAGATGCCACTGGACATCAAATGCTTACTCAAGTCTACTTTCCACTTCTTTGCCAAAGACTCCAACTTTAATCACTTGTCTGCAGTCCCTTTAGTAAAGCACATTATACATAACGTGAGCTCTGTGGAAACCTCCTCAGGAGCTTGTTCACTTTGCTTGAACTTAAGTTTCCCCCGGGTGTCAGCGCGCCCTCATTTCGATCCTTGCGCTCCTTCTGAAAGAGAAAAAGAAACCTTGAAGTATTATCTCTCTCTATTTGCAGAGTTGACACTCACCCCCAAATACTACTACTAATTGCACTGGGGTGTTTCTTTCAGAAGAATGCTATTTCTTTAAGGGACACTTAAAATAGTACTTGGCTCAATACTCACAAGGCTTTCAAAAGCTGATGACATTTAAATGATGTAATTAATGACTGACATCTTGCAAAGATTATATTCTTAGTTAACAATATTATATACTCGTAGTAACAATTCAGATTTTTTCTTTTTATTTTTTGTTATTTGATTCTTTGTAATCTACCAAATAAACTGTGGACAATTTTTCATTTGTGCTGAAACAGCAGCACAAACAGCAACAGTAAATAACTATTAAGTGATGGTACTGTTACTGAAAAATCCCAAAGGCTAAAATCAGTTTTAGTACCTGTACTTAACTTATATACTTAAATATAAAATTTATTTTTTATTAAGTGATGGTACTGTTAGTGAAAAAAGCCCAAAGGCTAAAATCAGTTAAAGGACAATTTTAGTACCTGTACTGTACTTATATACTTAAATATAAAATTTATTTTTCAAAGAAACATCTAGCTTTCAAAGTCCGAAGCAGCCTAAAAGAACTCTTTAAGTTTCAGACAATGAAGAATAGCTGTAACTACCTCAGGTATCCTGAAAATTCTGTTTGCTATGAGGATTACTGAAACCACTGGTTATTTCTCTACCATGTTGTCTCCACCCTCACCCCTGCAAGCACAGAACTATTTACAGATTTATGACATACTAGAATTTTGGAATCCTAACTTACCACTCTCCACCACTGTCTAGATAATGCAGGAATTGGACTGGTAACCGAGTCAGCTATTTCTTAATTTTATGAATCAGGGCAGTTGCAGAAACTTACCTACACTGTACATCTCCCCAGTTACAATATAACCCACATCTGGCACCATACAAATCACTGTTCTACTTAACAGCTCCAAATTGTACTCTCCCTCATTCAGAACTATTATGTAATAAGGAGAGGAGCAGTGACTGTTATTGGTTCAGTAGTGCTGAAACTTTAGAGATTACAAAGTGGAAGAAATCAAAAGAAGTGGCTGAGGTAAAGGTCAACCGACAGCAATTGAGCTCTACTTCAAGAACTTGACAACACAAAAAGGACTCGATGCGACTATTGTTTCATCCTTAGTTATAACATGCCAAACTTCCAGTCCCTTCCCACATTCATTTATTTTAATTCAAATTTAACCTAACTTCTGCATTCAAAAAGGAAGAACTGCATGTTTGAGCTACGTCATCCTGCATCTCTCCTACAGCTCAAAGGGATTGCAACTCCAATCAAATTGTTCAGAGAATATTATTACTATTGGCACACAAAAAAAATGATTGGGGGCTTCCTCCTTCCCTACTACTAGCCTTTAAGAACACAAAAGAGGCCTTTATTACTTCTGCCTTTGCCACGCAGTCATAGAACAGCCGGATCTCCTCAGCACAAGCTGCATCATTGAAGTCGTTCTGTTTCCAGCAGGCCATCATTACTGACATCTCCGTAATGCACGTCGCCTCTAGAACAGAAAGACACAACCAAAAATCTCAGCTGTTTGGCATTTCATGGTGACGGCCCCCACAGTGCACAAATCTCCAGAAGGAAGTTTAAAATCGAGTAGAGGCAGGTAAGAAAAAACAATGCTGAAATAAAGATCTCATCTTTGTTTTGTGTAGAGATGTTGATGGCAAAAAGATTAGCACCACAGCAGCCATCTCACATCTGACTGAATTCCTGAGGTAAATGCTATACTGAAATGTAACAAAGTATTTTACACGCGTGATTCACATACGGAATATCACAAGATGCAAATTTAGGGTTGTCACATGGAGAAAGCAGTCTCCCCAGAGGAACCCATATGCTAATTCTGTGGCACAAACCAGGCCCCTTTCCCCTCTTGCTGACCTGCAAAGGCGCTTCCGAGCGTCTTCTCGACCCAGCCCTGACACCACCATCGCCCTTCCCGGGGTGAAGGCCCACGAGGCCGGCGGGTCCCGGCGGGCGGGCCTACCCCAGAGGGGCTGAGGGGGAGGCCCTCCTCGGAGCGGGGCCGTTAAACGGCCTAGCGCCGGCAACTCACCTCCCGCCTCCTCCCGGCGGTTCGCCACCTTGTTGGCCAACACCAGCGGCCGGGT